AGGCGGGTGGATCAACGAGGTCAGGAGATCAGACCATCCGGCTAACATGGGTGAAACCCTGTCTCTACCTAAATACAAAAACTAGCCGGGCGTGGGGCGGGCGCCTGTAGTCCCAGCTACCCTCGGAGGCCTGAGGCAGGAGAATGGCGTGAACCTGGGAGGGGAAGCTCGCAGTGGAGCCCGAGACGCGCCACTGCCTCCCAGCCGTGGGGTGGACACAGCGCGAGATCTCCGTCTCAAAATAAATAAATAAAATAAATAAATAAAATAAATAAAAATAATTAAAAAAAAAAAAAAACCGCCCAAGGTGTGGAGGCTCCACGCCTGTTAATCCAGTGCTTGGGAAGGCCAAGGGCAGGCATATCACTTGAAGGCCCAGGATTATGAACCAGCCTGAAAAACATGGCGAACACCGTCTCTACTAAAAATACATAAAATTTGCCCGGGGTCTCCTGGTGGCACACTTGTAATCCCAGCTACTCGGGAAGGCTGAGGCACAAGAATCAACTTGAAACCAGGGAGGCAGAAGGAGTGTAGGGAGCCTGTGGGATTGCAGGCCACTGCGCACTCCAGCGGGGTGACACTGCAAGCCTCTGTCTCAAAAAAAAAAAAAAAGAGCAGCCTGGGCAATATAGTAAGACGTCCATCTCCTACAAATAAAAATAAAAATTAGTCCAGGAGTAGTGGGAATGTGCCTGTATCACAGCTACTCGGGAGGTTCAAGTGGGAGGATCACCTGTAGCCCAGGAGCTGAGGCTCTGTAAGCTGATGGGTGCCACCGCCACTCCAGCCTGCGACGCAACGAGAGTGAGACACCCTGTCTCTAAACAAAAATAAATGTGTTTTTTTTCTACTAGACTTAAGCAATCTTCCTCCTTGGGCCTCGCCAAAGCACCGCTGTGTCTTTTTTCACATCCATGGCTGTGGCAGAAAGGAGGAGGTGACCGGAAAGCCCCACCTCTCATCTGAGAGCTGAGTGAGTACACCCTGACCATAGGCCCAAGACAGTCCCACATCAGCCTCTTCACTAGGAAATTTTTTTTTTTTTTTTTTTTTGTTTTTGAGACCGGAGTCTCGCTCTGTTGCGGGCCCAGGCTGGCGCGCCACACGTGGCCCGGATCGTCAGCTCACTGCAAAGCTCTGCCTCCCGGGTTTTACGCCATTCTCCTGCCGTCAGCCTCCGAGCCAGCTGGGACTACAGCGGCCGCCACCCATCGACCAGCTAGTTTTTGTGTTTTTTTTTAGTAGAGATGGGGTTTCACTGTGTTAGCCGGATGGGTCCCTCGGATCTCTTGACCTCCGTGATCCGCCGCGTCTTGGCGCTCCCAAAGTGCTGGGATTACAGGCGTTGAGCCCACCCGCGCCCGGCTTCTTCAACAGGGATTTAGTGGCCTTTGCATAAAACAGAAAAGTGGCTGTGAATCTGCCAAGAGAATTAAAAAAACCACCATCTGAAATGCAAATTTGAGAAACAGTGAGACACCAGCGGTCTGCGACTTTCTGACAGCACCGGGAGGCTGTACTGGGGGCCCCCGGGTGTGGCCGGTGAACGGCTCAGGCACTCTCAGACTTCCCAGAGAGCCTGTAAAGTAATCGATGGACTTCCACCACAAGGGCGTATGTGTCCAAGCAGCTATCAAATAGTACTCAGGCCAGCATCCTACTGTTGGGCCCCACGCAATTTCCCAACTTCATGGAATTCTCCCTGTCAGGAAATACACGTGCCGCAAACAAGTGTGAAAAGCACCGTTTACAGTACACCAATCCACAACTGTCCATCAGGACCAGACCAGGTATATTTAAACGACCTCCATCTCTACAAAATAAAAAATAAAAATTAGTCAGGAGTAGTGGCATGTGCCTGTATCACAGCTACTCGGGAGGTTCAAGTGGGAGGATCACCTGAGCCCAGGAGGCTGAGGCTGCTGTAAGCTGATGGTGCCACCGCACTCCAGCCTGGACAACAGAGTGAGACCCTGTCTCTAAACAAAAATAAATTGTTTTTTTCTACTAGACTTAAGCAATCTTCCCTCCTTGGCCTCCCAAAGCACCAGGCCTGTGTCTTCTTTTTCATCATAGCTGTGGCAGAAGGAAGGAGGTGACCGGAAGCCCCCACCTCTCATCTGAGTACTGAGTGAGTACACCCTGACCATAGGCCCAGACAGTCCACATCAGCTCTTCAACAGGAAATTTTTTTTTTTTTTTTTTTTTTTTTTTTGAGACGGAGTCTCGCTCTGTTGCGGGCCCAGGCTGGAGCCACAGTGGCCGGATCTCAGCTCACTGCAAGCTCTGCCTCCCGGGTTTACGCCATTCTCCTGCCTCAGCCTCCGAGCAGCTGGGACTACAGGCGCGCCACCCCTCGACCAGCTAGTTTTTGTGTTATTTTTTTAGTAGAGATGGGGTTTCACTGTGTTAGCCCAGGATGGTCTCGATCTCTTGACCTCCGTGATCCGCCGCCGTCTTGGCCTCCCAACAGTGCTGGGATTACAGGCTTGAGCCCCACCCGCGCCCGGCTCTTCAACAGGATTTAGTGGCTTTGCATAAAACAGAAAAGTGGCTGTGATTGCAAGAGAAATTAAAAATAACCACCATCTGAAATGCAAATTGAAAACAGTGAGACACCACGTCTCACTCTGACAGATGACCCACTGTGCCGGTGAAGGCGTGCAGGCACTCTCAGACTTCCAGAGAGACCTGAGTAATCGATTGACTTCCACAAAGGGCGACTTGCCAACAGCTATCAAAAGTACTCAGGCACATCCTACTTGGCCCAGCAATTCCACTTCCAGGAATTTCTCCTGCAGAAATACACGTGCGCAAACAATGTGGAAAAGCACCGTTTACAGTAACAACCCAACTGTCCATCAGAACAGACCAGGTATATTTAGACAACAAACAAGGAAGCTTTTTACTAAATTGGGATGATCTCTAAGAAGCACGTAAGTAGAAAAAGCAAGGTGGGAGAACACGCTATGTGCTTGTACTATGCACGTCAAGGAAAAAATACACCAAGAATTGACAGGCCAGGTGGAGTGGCTCAAACCTAATCCCAGTACTTTGGGAGACTGAGATGGGAGGATCCCCTGAGGCCAGGAGTTCAAATCAGTCTTGGCCACATAGCAAGACCCCTCCAACATCTCTACAAAAAATTAAGAAAAAAATTAGCCAGGCATGGTGGTGTGTACCCATAGTCCCAACTACTGAGGAAGCTGAGGTGGGAGGATCCCTTAAACCAGAAGGTCGAGGCTACATGGAGCTTTGATCGTACCACTGCCCTCCAGCCTGGGCAACAGAGTGAGACCCTATTTCTAGAAAAAAATAAAGAATAAATAAAGAAATAAAGAAGTATGATGGTTCTGGTAATGGAACTAGGTGGCCAGGCAAAGTGGACATTTCACACTGCATAGTCCTGTATTTTCTGAAATCTGTCACCCTGGCTGGAGTACAGTAGCACCATCTCGGCTCACTGCAACTTCCACCTCCTGGGTTCAAGCAATTGTCCTGCCTCAGCCTCCCCACTAGCTGGGATTACAGGCGTGCACCACCACGCCCACCTAATTACTGTATTTTTAGTAGAGACAGGGTTTCACCATGTTGGCCAGGCTGCTCTCAAACTCCTGACCTCGTGATCCGCCCAACTCGGCCTCCCAAAGTGCTGGAATTACAGGTGTGAGCCCCCGCGCCTGGCCAATCTGGGCTATTTAAAAACTGAAAGTAAAATTTTAAAAGGGGAAGGGGAAAATGGGAAGTTACTGTTTAAAGGGGACAGAGTTTCTGTTTTCGATGAGAAAATTCTAGAAATAGTGGGGGTGTGGCACATGACTGGACTGAATGGCAGGGAAACGCACGCTTAAATGTTTCACGTATGTTTTACAAGAGCAGTCAATGCACACACAAGCGCCACAACCGAGTCCAAGGCTTTGCTCCTGCAGGGCCTTAGACGGGGTACTTGAGACGCCCACCTCAATGCAGGCTGGCTCCAGCTCTGGGCTGCCGGGCTTTCCCGCCCCGGGGTCTTTCGTGCGAGTCCCATGGGTGGACCCTGGCCCAGGCTACGGCCGCGGAAAAGGCTGTGGGCGGCGGGACAGGGTGCCCTTGGCTGCCGGGTTCAGAGTGGATCTCGGGACACATCTTCCAGCGCCTGACCTCCGGCCTGTGTGCACCCCCATACCCAGCGGGGCCATACGAGAGCTTCATGGAGGGCACAGCGCGACCCGCCCTCCCCTCAGCCCCGCACAGCGCCCCAGGGCCCCCGCACAGCCTCCCACACAGCGCCCCACGGCCCCCGCACAGCCTCCCACACAGCGCCCCAGGGCCCCCACAGCGCCCCACGGCCTCCGCACAGCGTCCCACACAGCGCCACGCACAGCGCCCCACGGCCCCCGCACAGCCTCCCACACAGCGCCACGCACAGCGCCCCAGGGCCCCCGCACAGCCTCCTACACAGCGCCCCACGGCCCCCGCACAGCCTCCCACACAGCGCCCCACGGCCCCCGCACAGCCTCCCACGGCCCCCGCACAGCCTCCCACACAGCGCCCCACGGCCCCACAGCGCCCCACGGCCCCCGCACAGCCTCCCACACAGCGCCCCACGGCCCCTTGATGGACCCCGCAGAGCCTCTCACACGGCGCCCCAAACAGCCTCACGGACCCCGCACAGCGCCTCACGGCCCCCGCACAGCTGCCGCACACCCCGCATAGCACCAGCAGACAGTCGCGGAGCCCCCAAAGGCAACAGCGCCCACCTCGCAGCGCCCAGACCCTGGAGCCCCGACGCCGACGCCACGCACCTGCGCACACCGCGCCTGCGCAGACACCACCCCCTCAGGCCTGGCGAGCACACTCAGGAGGTGGGGCGGACCCACGTCAGCGGCCCATCGTCCGATCCCGTCCATTGGCTGAGAGGAAATGCGTGCGCCAGACTCGCCGCTGATTGGTCGGCGCGCGAGCTGCCGGGCTCTCACGGGCCAATCCTGTGGCAGCGCGTGAGGCGGCGGAGCCCTCTGGGGTGGGATCGCCGGCCGTAAGTGGCTGTGGAGCTGGGGGCGCCGCGCAGTGGGACCATGGCCTCGGAGCAGCCGCTGGCGGCAGTCACCTGTACAGCGCCGGTCAACATCGCGGTCATCAAGTACTGTGAGTGTCGTGGGCCGGCCTGGGACGGGGATGGCCGGGAGCGAGGCCAGGTCCATGGGGGTCGCGCGCTGACTCGGCGGCGCGCTCCGTCCTGCTCTCCCAGGGCCTCGACAGACGGGGAAACTGAGGCTCAGGGAGGGGGGCGGCGGTGGTCGGGCGGGGCCGCGCGCTCCTTCTCCGCGTGACGGGCTCGGCGCCACCTGTTCCCCCGCCACGGCTGCCGCCCCTGCAGGGTCGCCCGGCGCCTGCCCATTAGCGATTACCGAACTTTATTGAAATCATCAATCATCGATTCCCACGAATCGTAAGAATCCGCCGTGGTGGTGCGCGTCTATGGCTCCAGCTACCGGGGCGGCTGAGGCGGGAGGATGGCCTGAGCCCGGGAGGTCGAGGCTGCGGTGAGCCGAGATCGCGCCACTGCCCCCCAGCCCGAGGCCCTGTGCCCCTCCCTCGCCCCGTTTCTGCCAATGGTAACCTCCAAGGAGCGGGAACGGGGGTCCTCAGCCCACATCCCTGCGCGGGGGAGGCCGGTCCGCACCTGCGCGTTCATAGCCACGCCCCTCCCCTCCCGCCGGGGTTACCTGGCCGCCGCTGACCACTCATTTTTGTAACGTCGTTTCAAAATGTTCCGAAACTGGAATCACAGTATGTGGCCCACCCAGTATCTTCTGAGTTTGGCTTATTTCATTCAGCATAGAATGTGGATGTGCCCCCGATTGTATCAGTGCTTTGCCCCTCTGTTGCTGAGCCAGTGCGTGGACTCCATGGACCACCCTCTTAGCCAAGGCCTCACCCCATTAAGAGCATCTGAGGTTTTCTTTCTTTGTTTCTTTTTTTCTTTTCTTTTTTTTTTTTTTTACAGGCACCCGCCACCGCCTGGCTTAGCATTTTTTTTTTTTGAGACGGGAGTCTTGACTCTGTCGCCCAGGCCGGGAGTGCAGTGGCGGAGTCTCAGGCTCACTGCCAAGCTCCGGCCTCCCGGGTTTTTACGCCATTCTCCTGCCTCAGCCTCCCGAGTAAGGCTGGAACTACAAGGCGGCCCGCCCCTCGGCCCGGGCCTGTTTTTTGTATTTTTTAGTAGAGACGGGGTTTCACCGGGTTAGCCAGGATGGTCTCGATTCTTCCTGGCTCGTGGAATCCGCCCGTCTCGGCCCCTCCCAAAGTGCTGGATTTAACAGGGCTTGAAGGCCCACCGCGGCCCGGCCTAATTTTTTTGTATTTTTCCCTTACCCAATAAAGGCTGCCATAAAATGTCTACAGGTTTTTGTGTGAACATACATTTTCATTCTTCTGGGATAAATGCCCAGGAGTGCGGTTGCTGGGTCAGATGGTAGATATATATATGCATATACATATATGCATGTGTGTGTATATATATACTTTAAAAAAAAAAAAACTGTCCAATTGTTTTTCAGAGTGGCTGGGCCATTTTGCATCCCTACCATGACGCAGTTTTTCCAGATCCTCACCAGCATTTGGTGGAGTTGCTGTTTTTCATTTTAGCCGCGTGCTGGTAGGGATGTGCTGACAGGGTGCTGTGCTCCTCATTCGCATTTCCCTGTTGGCCAGTGATGTGGAGCATCTTTCTTTGTGCTTATTTGCCATCTGTGAGTTTTCTCAGTGAAATGTCTGTTCATGTCCTGTGTCCATGCACTCACTGGATGGTTTGCTTTTTTACTATGAGTTTTGAGAGTTCATCATACATTATAGGCTGGGTGTGCAGGCTCAAGCCTGTAATCCCAGCACTTGGGGAGGCTGAGGTGGGTGGATCACCTGGGGTCAGGAGTTTGAGACCAGCTTGGCCAACATGGTGAAACCCCGTCTCTACTGAAAAAAAATAAAAAATAAAATAAAAATAAAAATAAAATTACTAAAAAAAAATAAAAATAAAAAAACTAATGTTCTAGATATTAGTCTCCTGTTGGACACGTGGTTTGCAGATACTGTCTCCCAAACTAGCTAATCTTTTCATCCCCTTAACAAAGAGCCAGTTTTTCATTTTAAAGAAGTTCAGCGTATCAGTTTTGATGTCAAGTCTAAGACCTCTTTGTGTAGCCCTACGTCCTGAAGATTTTCTGCTTTTCTCCGAGTTGTATAGGATTGCCTTTTATATTTGTCTGTGATCCAAGGTTGTCCATTTAGCCCAGAAAGGCTACCCTTCCTCCATTGAATTGCTTTTGCACTTTTGTAAAAAAAAAAAAAAAAAATCAGCTGGGCTTGTTTGGGTCTGTTTCTGGGTTTTCTCCTTTTTTTTTTTTTTTTTGAGACAGAGTCTTGCTCTGTCACCCAGGCTGGAGTGCAGTGGCACAATCTTGGCTCACTGTAACCTCCGCCTCCCAGGTTCAAGCAATTTTCCTGCCTTAGCCTTCTGAGTAGTTGGGGCTACATGCACGCACCACCACACCCGGCTAATTTTTGTATTTTTAGTAGAGACAGGGTTTTGCCATATTGCCAGGCTGGTCTCAAACTCCTGACCTCAAGTGATCGCCGGTTTCAGCCTCCCAAAGTGCTGGGATCATAGGTGTGAGCCACTGCGGCTGGCCGACAGTGATTTTTATGGAAACTTGTCCATTTTCTTGTAACGTTCAGAGACTCTGGTCTTCTTTTAAACTTTACATTTGAGCTGGTTTTTGATAGCACGCCGGTGGAGAAGGAGGTGCTGGCTCATGATAAGGAGGCAGAAGTCCAGGTTCCCTCCCCACCAACGCTGCCCCATCCCCACCAGGCCCTCAGGAATTCCTGAGTGTCTACTTGGCCTCTGATAAGAGACTGCAGGTCAGGGGAGACCAGGCTCCTGCGTGCTCTCTACTGACTCCTGGGGAGGTGAAAGTCCCCACGCCTTCAGGGAGGGAAAGGGGGGGCTCCGTTCCAGCCTGGAGTGTGGGAGGAATCTGTTTCTTCTTTTTTCTTTTTCTTTTTTTTTTTGAGACAGGGTCTGCCTCTGTCACCAGGCTGGAGTAAGTAAGGCTGGAGTGCAGTGGTGCCATCTCGACTCAGTGCAACCTCCGCCTCCCAGGTTCAAGCGATTTTCCCACCTCAGCCTCCTGAGTTGCTGGGATAACAGGCACGCATCACCACAGCCTGGCTAATTTTTGTATTTTTTGTAGAGACGGGGTTTCACCATATTGGTCAGGTTAGTCTCAAACTCCTGACCTCAGGTGATCCGCCCACCTCGACCTCCCAAAGTGCTGGGATTACCGGCGCAAGCCACTGCACTGTGCCGGGCCGGGAGTCTGTTTCTGTGTTGCTAGGCTGTCCTTCCCGGTCCTGCTAGGGAAGGCTGGCTTTGGTTGGCAGTTCCAGCTTCTGCAGGGCTAGGTCTAGGGCAGGCAGGACAGAAAAGCAAGCCCGGGGGCTCCTCCTGCCCTGTCTCACAGCTGTCCTCTGTCACCCGTGAGAGTCTCACCTGTGATGTCCAGGGTCTTAGTTGTCCTCAGTGGGAGACAGAGGGAGAAGTCCGCCGGCCCACCTTCCTGAAAGCAGAGGTTTGCCGGCCTCTCGGGGCAGCCGCGTCCGCCTACAAGGGCCACTCAGTGCTGTGTGAGAAAGAGCCTTGTGAACTGCAGAGCGTGGTTCTTTGCCAGGTGTCCGCATTTATCACCCCTGGAGCTGTCCGCCCTCCCGGGAGACCTCCCCTCAAAAAACCGAGCAGATTGTGTGCTTAGCAAAGACGCCGTGAAATAAGACTTCAGCTGAAGCACTGCGCAGTGCTCCCCAGGCAAACGTTTCATTTCAGACTTTCCGGAAGGCTGATTTCTCTTGCTGTCCCATGGCCGTGCTGGGCAGAAAGGGGTTTATCCCGGATGTTCCCGGGGAATATGAGCAGTGAGATTTGAGGAGTTCTCAGAGCTGGGCTCCTCTTGTTTGGGAAGGTGGAGGGGAGGCAGGCCGCGGTCAGAGCGCTCTGCACCTGGGCACTCACAGATGATGATGAAGGAGCATGGAGTGGGGAGGGAGGCTGGCTGGCCTCCAGCTCTGTGGTGGGAGCCTGAGCTCAGTGGGGCGGGGAGCAGTTCTTGCACGCAGGGGTCTAGCAAGAGGATGGCCACACATGTGCGGTGAGAGACAGGACCGAGGCGGGTGGGGGCTGTGGGTGGGGGGTAGGGGCACCTGTGGGGAATACTGGGGGAGGGTGGGCCGGGAAGCCCACCGGCCTGGCCCTGGCTGTTCATTACAGGGGGCAAGCGCGATGAAGAGCTGGTTCTGCCCATCAACTCCTCCCTGAGCGTCACTCTGCACCAGGAGCAGGTACGTGTGGACTGACGACAAAACACCACAGTGCCATTTCCAGAACGTTTGTAGAACAGTTGGTACCAGCTGGGTGCAGTGGCTCACATCTGCAATCCCAGCACTTTGGGAGGCTGACGTGGGAGGATCTCTTGAGCCCAGGAGTTGGAGACCACAGTGAACCATGATCACGCCACTGCACTCCAGCCTGGGTGACAGTGAGACCCTGTCTCTGAAACCAAAAAAAAATTGGTGCTTTTTTTACCTCAAGGCTAGGATGAGATGGCTCAGCGATGACTCCCGGCAGCGCGCAGTGTCTGATCCATCTCCCAGTGTCAGGAGAGCTCAGCACAGCACACACATGCCCCCAGGTCTCATCACACATGTGCACACTGTGCCCCAGGGGCTCCCTTGGGAGTCCCTGTCTCTTTATTCAGGACAAGGCCTGGTTGCTCCACAAGGTGTGGCCCACGCTTTCCTCCGCCACAGGCTTCCCCACTGCCCAGCTGAGGCTGGCCTTTTCCCCCCGCCCGCCCTCAGCAGGGGGGCCTTGCTCGAGTGGGCAGCCACGAAGCTCTCTCAGTAGAAAGGGATACCTGGCTGGCATCGGTCCTCAATGCTGGCCTCTGAGGTGGCCCTGGGTTTCCTTTTCAGTTAAAAACCACCACAACAGCCGTCATCAGCAAGGACTTCACCGAGGACCGGATTTGGCTGAATGGCCGGGAGGAGGACGTGGGGCAGCCGCGGCTCCAGGCCTGCCTGCGGGAGAGTGAGTTGGGGTCCCCGCAAGCCCATCCCTCCCTGTTGTCAGCAGGGTCCGAGCATCCAGAAAGCGCTTCTGCCTCTGGGCCCCTCCTGAGGCAGCAGGCGACATGGCTGGGAACCAGACATGCCCACTGGACCCCCAGCTCCAGGGCAGTGGCCCCACTTCAATTCCCGCTGGGTTTGGGTCAGTCTAGGGTTTTCCTGGGGAAGAAACTCTCCATGAGGAGTCTGGCAGGCAGAGGCCTGGTGTTCAGCTGTGACCCGGGCAGGTGGGCAGGGGCAGGGCGGGCAGGGTGCTGACGGCTGGGCCACACGCTGTCTCATTGTCTCTGCAGTCCGCCGCCTGGCCCGGAAGCGGAGGAACGCGTGGGATGGGGACCCACTGTCCTCCAGCCTCAGCTGCAAAGTGCATGTGGCATCGGTGAACAACTTCCCCACGGCTGCAGGCCTGGCCTCCTCAGCGGCGGGCTATGCCTGCCTAGGTGGGTGCCCACAGAGACATGCAGGGGTTCTGGGCTGCGGGCATAGGAGCCGCTTCACGCTCTTCCCGGGTCAGGGGGCCCACTGCCGGGCGTGGCTGAACGAGCGTCCCCCACCCCAGGCTTCCCTGGCCTCTCTGGAGTTGTTCAGTCTCTTCCCAGAGCGTATCTGAACATTTTCATCTTCCAGTTGCAGCTGGCGCGGGGCTCTCGCCTGTGATCCCAGTACTTAAGAGGCTGATGGGGGAGAATCACTTTAGTCCAGGAGTTCAAGACCAGCCTTGACAACATAGTGAGACCCCCATCTCTACAAAAAATAGAAACATCTTCCAGTTGCTCCTTGTGGAGCCCCTCTAGGTCGTCAGTGATAGAAACCACTTCAGACTGGCTCAGACCTAAACTAGCGATGGTTTTGCGGCTCACATAACTGAGGATTCCAATGGGCACAGCTGGTCACAGGCGCCACCAGACCCAGCTCTCTGCTGGCCCCAGGCCACTTTCTGGCGGCTTCTCACCCAGTGTCAGAGCCCGTTCCCATGGTGGTGGTCTCACAGTATCTTCACCCTCAACTCCAGGGATGACGCTTCCTGGCCCACCTGGGCTCCAGTGCCTTCCCTGAACCACCCGCAGTGACCAGGGCCATGGGTGACCAGACCTGGAGGTGGGGTCGCCCTGCTGGAGCCCTGTGGACCGAGGGGAGAAGGTGGCTCCTGTGCTGGGTGGGCAGGGGCACGTCTTATGGAGCCCAGCTCTGTCCTGGTATCAGTCCCTGCCCCACACAACCTTAAAATTCCTTCCCACCCTCAAAGCTCAGCTTCGGGATCCCCCAGGGGGCTTCCCGCTCTGCCGCAGGTACCTTTTGTCACCTTTGTCTCAGGCCGCAAGCTCTGCAGGCTGTGAACAGAGTGTCCAAGAGCGGAGGGCGCTCTTAGTGGAGGGCGGGGACGGATGGCTGGGTTGGTGAATGCTGCCCTCGAAGGCTGATGGCCCAGAAGCCCTGTCATCTGGAAATCCCCGTTTGCCGTGGGGGGTGTGACATTCCCGGGGCAGTGAGCTGTCAGGGAGCACAGCCCAGGCAGCTCTGAGGACCCTCCCCGGAATCCCCATGCCTGCAGCCTACACCTTGGCCCGTGTCTACGGCGTAGAGAGTGACCTCTCAGAAGTGGCTCGCCGGGGCTCAGGCAGCGCCTGCCGGAGCCTGCATGGGGGCTTTGTGGAGTGGCAGATGGGAAAGCAGACTGATGGGAAGGACAGCGTCGCCCGGCAAGTGGCCCCCGAGTCACACTGGCCTGAACTCCGCGTCCTCATCCTTGTGGTGAGTGGGGCGGGTGGAGCAGCAGCCGGGTGGCCTCTGTCCCTAGTCAGGGCTGCTGCTGGGAGCAGGGGTGAAGGCATCCCATCCAGGCTTTGCTTGGCTCCTGGGGTCAGTGGATGCTAAAGAAACAGACGTGTGGTCGAGTGCTCAGGAAGTGCTCCCACGTGGCGGGCGCCACCACCCACTGGGATCTAGAAGTTGCCCCTATGTCGCCCCTGCTGTGGCCGGGAGGCCTCCGTGGCCAGGCAGGTGGCACTGACTCCCACCCCCACTGCCTGCATTGCCTGAGCGACGGCTGAGTGTTTGGGGCTGAGGTCCTTGGGGCTGGCCTCCTGCAGGGTGTGGCCCAGGCTGTCTCTCCCTCGTGCAGGTGAGCGCTGAGAAGAAGCTGACAGGCAGTACTGTGGGCATGCGGGCCAGTGTGGAGACCAGCCCCCTGCTGCAGGTGAGGCCAGGAGCAGGTGGCCCCGGGGCCCTGGGAGTCATGCTTGTGCCCGACTCTGCCCTCAGCCTCTGTCTGGGCCCAGACGTTCTCACACCTGCGGCAGCCCCGCCAAGACCAGGTGGAGGAGCCACATGCAGAGATGGGGCTTGAGCTGGGCTGCCAACCCCGGAGACCCTCCTGGAACCCTCTGCTGTCGAGACCCCCAGCGGCTCCATGGGAAACACCCCGTGCCTTGCAGTTCCGGGCCGAGTCTGTGGTACCGGCGCGCATGGCGGAGATGACCCGCTGCATCCGGGAGCGAGACTTCCCCGGCTTCGCCCAGCTGACCATGAAGGACAGCAACCAGTTCCACGCCACCTGCCTCGACACCTTCCCGCCCATCTCTTACCTCAATGCCGTCTCCTGGCGCATCATCCACCTGGTGCACCGCTTCAACGCCCACCACGGCGACACCAAGGTGACGCGGGCTGGGAGGGCAGAGGCTGCGCTCTCGCGCTGTGTCGCGTGTCTAGGCTTATGCTGCCGTGGAGACGGTCCCGGGAGCCGCGTGCAGGGTGATCTGTGTCTGAAAGCTCGGCCCTGCTGTGTGCGGAGCTCACTGACCATCCGGGTTCTTCTGTTTCGTTTTGTTTCTTGACTTGCTAGGGTCACAGCCCCACCACCTTTTTCCTGGGTTCACAGGCAGAGGTGTCAAGTACCAGGCACTTGGGGTCACAGCTCCACTCCAGTGTGGCCCTGAGGGCCTAGACTGAGCTCTTGGAGAGCCCAGGGCCCCCTGGCAGACCAGAGGGTTGAGGGGACAAGGGCCAGGCACCACGTGAACAGCCGGGGTGACTGCTGTGGGTTCCAGGTGGCGTACACCTTTGACGCGGGCCCCAATGCCGTGATCTTCACCCTGGACGACACTGTGGCTGAGTTTGTGGCTGCTGTGAGGCACAGCTTTCCCCCGGGCTCGAACGGAGACGCGTGAGTGTGGACCCTTCCCCGCCGCCTCTTTGGGAGACAGTGCCAGGAACCCTAGTCGGAAGAGACAGAGGCACCTGAAGGCTGTGCCTGAGACGGGGAGTCCCAGGGCAGGTGGCAATTCCCCGAGTGTGGGAGCCACGGATAGGGTGTTCCCACAGAGCCATCCCACAGCCCACGTCCACAGGGAAAAAAAGGACAGCGCGCAGGGCGTGTGTGAGACGGCGACCCACCTCCTGAGAGACGGGCATTTCCCCTGCGCAGCTTCAGCAAGGCCAGCAGGCCTTAGCCTATAGAACAGGGGCTTCTGAGGAACACATGGTGCATTCCCAGGGGCGTGTCAAGTGTCTGACTTTTTTTTTTTTTTTTTTTTTTTGAGACGGAGTTCTCGCTTGTCGCCCAGCCTGGTTTGCAGTGGCGCATCTCGGCTCACTGCAAGCTTCCGCTTCCCGGGTTCACCGCCATTCTCCCACCTCAGCCTACTGAGTAGCTGGGGCTACGGCGCCGCCCCCACGCCGGCTAGTTTTTTTTGTATTTTTAGTAGAGACGGGGTTTCACCATGTTAGCCAGGGTGGTCTCGATCTCCTGACCTCGTGATCCACCCGCCTCGGCCTCCCAAAGTGCTGGGATTACAGGCTTGAGCCACCGCGCCCGGCCAGTGTCTGACATTTTGAAGGAAAGGAGTCAAAGCCCCCGACTGCCTTCTCACCGAAGTGAGTTAGAGGCGGTCAGGGCGGCTGGGTGTTGACCCCGCCCCTGCAGTTGGGTGTCTTTTCTGGGGTGGGGTCGTCTGGCAGCTGCATCCTGGCGCCACAGAGCCCCCACGTACACCCTCCTCGGTGCATAGCGTGGCCCAGCCTCCTTTCGCTCCTGGGCTGTTGATTTCTTCCCTCCTGTTGTTTTAATGGAGCCTGATTCTCAATGTGAGGGGCGCCTCCTGTTTAAGGGTGTCTGGAAGCGTGTGGGGATGGGCATCTGTCCTGGGTGGGAGCAGTAATACCTTCTACTGGTCAGGGGCCTGCCCTGTGGGATGGACTCGGACCCACACCCCAGGACTGCCCTCCTGGGAGGCACCAGGCTCGTGGCTTCTGCTCCGGGTGGGGCTCGCAGGCTTCCGTTGTTCTGCAGAACACAGTGACGAACGCACCAGCTTGAACCGGGCACTTCCCTAAGCTGTTACCCCATGGGGTGTGGCAGCAGCCTTGGTCAGACGTGGGTCCAGCCTGGGCATAGCTATTTACCACATAACCTAAAATTCACTGTCTCAGCCATTCCAGAGCATACAATCCTGTCGTGTTGAGGACACTCACAGGGTTGTGCAGCCACCACCTCGAGCCACCTCCTTAACTTTTTCATCACCCCTAAAAGAAACCTGTCACCACAGCGGTCACCTGCCATCTCCCACTCCCTGAGCCCTGACAGTCAGCAATGCATTTCCCATCTCTGGACTTGCCTGTTCTAGACGCTTAGAGAAATGGAGGTTGGCTGGGCGCGGTGGCTCACGCCTGTAATCCCAGCACTTTGGGAGGCCAAGGCAGGAGGATCACGAGGTCAGGAGATCTAGACCATCCTGGCTAACACGGTGAAACCCCATCTCAACTAAAAATACAAAAAAATTAGCCGGGCGAGGTGGCGGGTGGCTGTAGTCCCAGCTACTCAGGAGGCTGAGGCAGGAGAATGGCGTGAACCCAGGAGGCGGAGCTTGCAGTGAGCCAAGATCGCGCCACTGCATTCCAGCCTGCGCAACAGAACGAGACTCCATCTCAAAAAAAAAAAAGAAATGGATGTGTTCACCATGCCCCTGCCCTGCTTTTCCAGGTTTCTGAAGGGGCTGCAGGTGAGGCCGGCCCCTCTCTCAGCTGAGCTTCAGGCTGCGCTGGCCATGGAGCCGACGACCCCCGGTGGGGTCAAGTACATCATTGCCACTCAGGTGAGGCCTGGGGCTCGGCTGGTACTCTCGGGGTTTCCTTTCTTGCCAGAGGGGCCTGCCCAGCCCCCAGGGCCCTTGCAGGCTCAGCCCGGCTCCCTGTCCCTATCCCTACTGTGTCTCAGGCAGGAAGCCAGAAAGCCTTTGTTCATTCATTTGCTCTGCAAGTGGACATTACAGGCCACTGGCCATACTCAGAGCAGCAGGGCTGGGCTGGGGGTGGAAGGGCGAGTCTGACACAAGCTCCCAGGGAGACAGGTGGGGAGCATCAGGCCCCTGAATAGGGAGCGCTTGGAGTGGGTGCTTCTGGGGTCCCTGGGCCCCGCACCCCAACAGACCGGGGTTCCTGCTCTCTGACCTGCCCCGAGAGCCAAGCCTGCATCCAGCGATCATGGCCGCCCGAGCTATTGCCTCCACCTTCCTCTCAGGGGCCACATGCACAGGCTGCCTGTTTCCAGGCTCTGTGGTTCTCTGTCCACCCTATGACGGAGGCAGTGCCCTGGGCGGGGGCTGGCAGCTGGCGGGGCGGCTGTGCCTGAGGGAGCTGCGTGTGGGTGGTTTAGCTTCTGACCAGGACCCACCAGAAGGGCGGGGGCACACCGCTACCCTCCTGTGTCCGGCCCCCTACAGATGCTGGGCACAGGATGAGGTGCTGCCATTCCTGGTGACCTGACAGGGATCTCTACCCCCAGGTGGGGCCAGGACCCCAAATCCTGGACAACCCCAGCGCCCACCTCCTGGGTCCTGACGGCCTGCCGAAGCCAGCTGCCTGACCGCCTCAGCAGGACCGCACGCGCGTGGAGAAGGGGTGGCCTCGCCAGAGCTAGGGAGCGGGTGTGGTGGGCTCCGGACTACTGGGACATGTGGGTGGTGGCTTGTCCCGGGGCCCATGGACAGCTTGCTGTGGGGCCGTGCAGGGAGCCCTGCAGCTGCCCAGGTGTCAGGAGAGGTCCCTGCCGAGTGCTTCAGCTGCCCCGGGCTTTGCCAAGATGGGATGGGGTGGGTATGAGAGCTGGCAGAGCCTCGGTGCAGCAGGGCTGACGGGCTCTCACCACAGCTCCGGCTGCTCCCAGTTCTCCGAGACGGGAGCTCAGCGGGGAGGTGGTGTCCCTCCATCGGACTAGGAAAGGGGTCACTGTGCTGGGAGCAGCCTCCTCGGGCCTCAGGAAACCACCAAGTGCCTTAGATGGTGGCTGCCCACAGCACTTCTGCTGAGACCCTGCCCCAGGCCTAGGTGTGGCTGGAATGGTGGTAGGAGTGGGCACCAGTGTGGCCCTGGTGGCCGTGGGGAATAAACCAGCATTGCTGCCTCCTGCCTTCTGCTGTTTTTCTGTTTCATAAACCAGCATTCCGGAGTTCCTGTTCTGAGTGACCCTGGGACCTGCCAGGGAGTCCCTGTGTGCCCCATGAGGGCCTAGGAGAGGGGCAGGCTGGACAGAGCCACAGAGGGGCTCCCCTCACACCCCACATTGGCTCAGGTGGGACCCTCAGGAGCAGCCCCTGGTCTAAAGTCTTCCCATGGGCGCTGGGCTCACCACCCCCACGCCAACCCCTGCGTCCTGTCTCTAGGCCAGAAATGACGGGGCCGTCCCTGCATTCTGTGCTTTCCCAGTTGTGCACATCCTGTCCCCTCCCTCGAGTATCAGTCACAGTCCAGTGGCATGGTGTGGGGAGGCCCCCCGCAGTGTCTGACCCAGGCCACGCCTGTGCCAGCCCAGAGCCAGGGGGAGGAAATGGGGGCTGGGCCTTTGGTCCCCATGGGGAGGCCACCCTCGTCCTTGGTAGCATCAGGGTGCAGAGGTGTTCCCGGGCTGTAGGGGTGACCCCTCTGCTATTAATAGAAGCCTTGTTGACACGGGACTCTCAGTTGGGTCCCGGGCGTTGGGCAGGGGAATTTGTCAGTGCTTGAGAGCTGAAGCTGGGAAGCCCTGGGGAAGCGCGCTCCCCGCCTGGGCCGAGCAGGGCCCCTCCTATGCCTCGACGGGGTAGAGAAGGCGGGGACAGAAGGCTCCGGGGCAGCCCTGCACCCTACAGACGCAGGTCTCCGCCCAGCCGCGGTCACCTGGGGGTTTGGGGGCAGGGCCTGGGCGGAACGGGATTCGGCCGGGAGCGCAGGGGCGGCAGTACGCGCCTACCAGTGTCCCGGCTGGGTCCGTGCCGCCATGGGGCAGATCGAGTGGGCCATGTGGGCCAACGAGCAGGCGCTGGCGTCCGGCCTGAGTGAGTGCGCGGCAGGGACGGTGGAGGCTGCAGCCTGGAGGGGTATCCCAAGACCCCAGCCGGGACCTCGGGCTACTTACAGGGCGGGGAAGTGGGGCGCCAGGCGGGCCAGGGTCAGGCCAGGAGGGTGCGGGGAACCGGGGCGGGACCCTCAGGGCGCGGGCTGGAAGGAGTTCTGAGAACCCCGGCAGTCCCCTTGCAGACCCTGCGGAGCGCGGCGCCCCTCCCCCATTCCCTCCCTCGGTCCCCCGACTCCGCGGAGGAGGAAGTTGCAGCGCAGGGGAAGAGGCGGTTCAGCCCTGGTGGTTTCCGGGGTCGCCGCCCCAAGCCCCCAAATGGGGGCTCTGGCCTGGGCGTCAGAAGCTCCCCTGTCCCTCGGTAGCCAGCTGGGCTGCGAGTCGCCCTCCCTGGGCTTGGGGTGGGGAGTGGGCTCTTCATGCCCCGGGGCTCAGCCCTCCCCATCTGGAGTCTGCGCTGGAGGCGGCCTGGGATTACACGAGGCGCTGAAACCACCCAGTGACGGCCCTGCCCAGCCCAGCTGCTCAGGCGCTTTGCTCTTGGGGTGGGATGGCACAGACCCCGGTCACCCTGCTGCGCATTTGCTCAGAGGTTCCGGTGAGGGCAGCAGACTCCATATGGAAATGGACCCTCTCAGGACCAGAGCCGGGGAGTGTCGGGCCCAGGCCGGGTGAGGCTGGGTTCAGGCGGGGTCTGAGGGCAGAGGCACCAGCGCGGCAGCTCCAGGAAGGACCTGCACCCGGTGGGGAGGAGTGCCTGGGAAGGGCCTGGAGGCTGAGGGTGAGGAGGAGGGGCCCGCTGCCACCACTGCCCTGGGGCTCTGAGCGCCCTACTGGTTGTCTGGAGTGCGTGGCAGAGACCTCAGGGTGGGAGGCCTGGAGCATGGGGCCCTGCAGCCTGTCCCACCGCCTGCTTCGAGTCAGCGGCCAAGATCTCGGTAGGTCAGTTCAGACAGCTCTCCCCAGAGCCGCCCCTTGAGACGGTCACCCTGCCTGCCCCGCACTCCCTACAGGAAATAGAGGGTCTGAGGGCACCCAGCTGGGAGCCAGGAGAGTTGGGCTCTAATCTGGCCTCCTGCTGAAACCCTCCAGGGGCTCCTGGCCCAAAGAATTAGAGCAGGACTGGACGCCCTGCGCTGCCTGCCCTGGCCTCCCAGCTCTCTGGCCCCTCCTCCAGCTGCCGGTCTTCCTTTCTGTTCCTAGATCTCCTGAGCTTGCCCCAGGGCCTCTGCACAAGCTGCTGCTTCTGCAGAGCCTCATGGCTGTCTCATTTCTCAATTCAGATGTCACCTGCTCGGGGAGGTCTTTCCAGAGCATGCAGCCCCGGGAGGCAGCTGACCCAGAGAGAGTGGGGCCTTGACAAAGAGTCCCCCCCGTACAGAGCAGGTGCTCTGTCACTGTGGCTGGGTGCCAGAGTACGTCCTCAGCCCTCCCTGGTGGCACCAGCAGCAGCTTTGCAGCCTCTTTCAGATGGCAGGCTTGGGACCAGGACGGTCCCCCAAAGATGCACGGACAATAGGCTGAGTAGACCCAATGACACTGCCGTCCCCTCCTCCAACACAGACAGGCAAACCCAGAGAGTTAATGTGTAGCTGGGCTCAAACCAAGGATAGGAAATCTTCAAACAAGACCATGTGGAGGCAAAAACAGAATGGCTGGCAGAGCAAGGTGGCTCATGCCTGTAATCCCAGCACTTTGGGAGGCCGAGGCGGGCAGATCACGAGGTCAGGAGATCGAGACCATCCTGGTTAACATGGTGAAACCCCGTCTCTACTAAACATAAAAAAAATTAGCCACGTATGGTGGCGTGCACTTGTAGTCCCAGCTACTTGGGAGGCTGAGGCAGGAGAATCGCTTGAACCCGGGAGGCGGAGTTTGTAGTGAGCCGAGATCACACCACGAAATTCTAGCCTGGGCAACAGGGCAAGACTTCATCTCCAAAAAAAAAAAAAAAAAAAAAAAGAAAAATAAATAAAATAGTAGGAAGGACCAGGCGCCGTGGCTCACGCCTGTAATCCTAATACTTTGGGAGGCCAAGGCGGGTGCATTCCCTGAGGTCAGGAGTTCGAGACCAGCCTGGCCAATGTGGTGAAACTCCGTCTCTAATAAAAATATAAAAATCAGCTAGGTGTGGTGGCGGGCGCCAGTAATCCCAGCTACTCGGGAGAATGAGGCAAGAGAATTGCTTGAATCCGGGAGGCAGGGGTTGCAGTGAGTCAAGATTGCGCCACTGCACTCCAGCCTGGGTGACAGAGTGAGACTCCATCTCAAAAACAAGAAAAAGAAAAAAAAAATAGTAAGGGGGAATATTGGACAATACCCCCCCCCGAAAAAAAAGGTGCAGAAATAGCCACATCAGACGAAACCGAAATTAAGGCAAAATAGCTGACGGGTTAAGAGGAACTCCGTATCAGGAGGAAAGAGACACCCCCAAGATGCAGAAACCACACTCGGCCTATTGGCTTTCAGTGCATCAAAGACTCATGGTGACAAGGGGTCCCATCAGGGGTCCCAGAGCCCAGGGGCACAGGCCCACTGAGGCCTGCAGGTCGGGCCGTCCCTGGCTGCTCCTGGGACCTAGAGCCCGGGCATGTCCAGCACCCCCTCCGCCAGCCCATGCGCCACAGGCTCTGCTCTTCACCAGCGCAGAGGGGTGCCTCCTGGGGGTGTCCCTGACCCTGTCACTGTGCTATGGGGATGGGGATGGGGATGGGGATGGGGATGGGGATGGGGAAACTCTGGGTGGCCTGATGGCCCACAGGAGGTAGAGAAGGGGAGTGGCCCAGGCCCCCAGGACGGGAGTCCCACAGTACCTGACCCACTTCTCCCCACAGTCCTCATCACCGGGGGCATCGTGGCCACAGCTGGCCGCTTCACCCAGTGGTACTTTGGCGCCTACTCCATGTATCCTTCCACCTGAGGCTGGGGCGGGTGGGGAACGCCCAGGGCAGAGCCAGGGAACCACTTCACAGTGAGCTGTTCGCCTCCGCTCCCCGCCCCCGCAGCCAGGCTGGGACACAGGGTGGGCTGTCCACGGGTTGGGCAGCCTAGGCCCCAGCAGCCAGGCTCCTCGCCTGGGCCATGTGGTGGTCAGCGGCAGACCCCCAGTCTGAGTCCTGGTGAGGGGTGGGCAGGGGGTGTCACCAGAGGGCCAGGGCCAGCACTGAGGCCTCCCGGTTGGACTACTGGGATCCTGTCTGCCCCCTCCTGTCAGTCAGCCCCCTTGCCCGGCCCCTCCACCTCCTTTGCCCCATCTCAGCCCAGCCGTACCTTGCGACAAGCAGCATTGGGCAGGGTGGTGGGAGGGCGGGCGTGGGCAACCCCGAGTGCCTGACCTATTAGAACCTCCCGTGGCTGCCTCCTGGCTCTGTGACTTCAGGCAGTGGCTGCCCCTTTTTTTTTTTTTTTTTTGAGACAAGGTCTCGATCTGTCCCCCCAGGCTGGAGTGCAGTGATGCAGTCATGACTCATGGCAGCCTCCACCTGGGCTCAGGCCACCCTCTTACCTCAGCCTCTGGAGTAGCTGGGACCACACACGCACACACCACCACACCTGGCTGACTCTTAAATTTTTTGTAGAGATGAGGGTGTCACTGTGTTGCCCTGGCTGGTCTCAAACTCCTGGGGGCTCCAGTGATCCTCCTGCCTCAGCCTCCCAAAGTGCTGGGATTACAGACGTGAGCCACTGTGCTCGGGCCCTTCTCTGTGTTGTCTTCAGTAAAGAGGGTTCCCTGTGGCCCCCCAGGCTGAGCTGGGCTGTTCCTTAACCACATGGCTTCAGCGTGGCGGGCGTGTTTGTCTGCCTGCTGGAGTATCCCCGGGGGAAGAGGAAGAAGGGCTCCACCATGGAGCGCTGGTGAGTCTCCCCCTCCTGCTCTGGGGTCTCTCCCGGGGGTGCGGGGCCAGGCAGGGCTCACAGGGTCAGTACGTGGAGCCTAGTTCCTCACTCAGAGGCTCCGGAACCAATTCTTTGGTGCTTGTGGGCAAACCAAGGCCAGTGCCTGCCCTGTGTGTTTTCTGGGAGGGAAGAGGCCTGGGTGCCCTGGGGTCGTCGGCAGGGCAGCAGGGGAGTCCCGAGTGCTCGGAGAGGCCCAGCCGCGCTGTCTCCCCTTCTTCCCTCCCCCAGGGGACAGAAGTACATGACCTCCGTGGTGAAGCTGTTCGGGCCCCTCACCAGGAATTACTACGTTCGGGCCGTCCTGCACCTCCTGTGAGTCCCCACCCTTCACCCCCTCGGGCTCAGGGGGGCTTGGAGCCGACCCTCCCCCACTGTCCCACTGGCCGGGCTGCCTGGACAGAAGCCACCCCCCACTTACCTCGATGTTTTTCCAAACAAAAATTCGGGTTCCCGGCTCTGGCGGGGCCCCCGGTGCCAGTGTCCGCTGTCTAGTGTGCAGGATTTGTAAGGATCCTCCCCAAACCTGAGTAGCTGCGATCCTGTCTGGAGTCAGCAGGCCCTGCTGGGGGGTCTTGCCTGGGCTTCCTGGTAGGGTGGAGGATTCCGCACTGTGTGTCTGGTGGTTGCTGCCGGCCGAGGCCAGGACGCCGGCACGGGGCTGCCCTGCAGCTGCTGGGGGTTCCTCTGAGCAAGTGCCCCCGAGTCGCTCGCATCCACATCAAGGCCAAGAATACCCAGGACCGAAACAAGCCCTGGGCCGCACACATCCCCTGGGTCTGTGGTCTGCCTTGTCCTGAGACTTTGCAGCCCTGGGCCGTGCACGACTTGTCCTGAGACTTTGTGGCCTTGGCCCCCAGACCTGGGGCTCCATTCCCCTTTCTGAGTGCTCTTCTGTGTCCCTGCCTCCCACCCCCCACTCCCCCAGGCTCTCGGTGCCCGCCGGCTTCCTGCTGGCCACCATCCTCGGGACTGCCTGCCTGGCCATCGCGAGCGGCATCTACCTGTTGGTGAGTGGCGCCCTCTGAGGTTAGCCCCAGCCACCCCCACCCCCTGCCCTGACACCCTCGGACATACGTGGCCCTTGAAGGCAGCTCTGTAGGCTGAGCCGAGGCTGGGAGCAAGCGCGAGCCCGGGCGTGTGCTCACAGCACTGCGGGGACGCAGCAGTTGCCGCTGCCGTTTTTGGCGCGTCTCGTGTGTTGGGTCATTTCCCTGCATTTCTTCATCAACCCGCACCACGGCCCTGGGAGGGGTACTGGTGTCCCCACTTTGCAGACAAAGAGGCGGAGGCGCAGGGAGGTGCTGTGGCTGGCCTGGGGTCATGCAGCCGGCAGAAGGCTGTGCCTGGGCTTGGGTCCATTTATCAGGCTTTTCTCACCTAAACCCTATTTGCACTGATTTGTGGGCGGTGCCAGGATGCACGCAGTCACGCAGATATTTTCTTAAACTGCCAACACCTGGGTTTGGTTTAGGAACACAGCACCCTGTTAGAGGGCTGCCCATCCCATGGGATACAGTGATCGTTCTGAGAGACCAGGGATGGGTGAGGGGACAGGGCGTAGCCTGGCCAGGCCTTGGGTGAGATGCCCTCTGCCTACCCTGGGCTCCGGAACAGACGGCTGCAGGCCACCTCGTACTGCAGAGGTCTCTGAGTGGACAGAGCCCTCAGACTTTGTTTATTTAAATCCTTTTGTCCCTAGAGGCGAGTCCCTCCTGCCCACAGAGGCAAACGCACACTAAACCAAACCCAGGTGCCGGCAGTTTAAGAAAATGTCTGCGTGACTGCGTGCATCCTGGCACCGCCCACGAATCAGCGCAAAGTGTGTGTGCCGTGTTAAATGTGCAGTTCTTTCTGTGTGTGCCTTCCATGTATGTAAGTGGAGTTCTGTTTCAAGGCTCATTGACCTGCCACCGGCCTCTCAGGCCTCTCCTTTACAATCCCTTCCTCTTGCCAAGCGCTCATCTGGGCTGTTGCTTTGTTCTCCAGGGGCCACCCACATGCCCCCTGGCTCCTGCTACCACATACAGCTAGCGCGCTCCTGGAGACCTCAGTAGGAATTCCTTGTGCTAAACCCAGAGAGGAATTGCTGGGTCAGGCATCAGCCTCTGTACCGTTGACCCTGCTGGGCTCAGCTGCTCCCCAGCAGACAACCTACCACCAGCCGTGCCGGCCCCATCGCCCCCACCTGGCGCACAGGGCTTTCTCCCACGCTTGGCAGTTCCACAGCACGAGGCTGGCCGTGCGGAGCTTGCACTCGTTCTTCTCTGACTGTGGATTTGGCGCTGTTGGAGTTTCTTCTCCCTTGAGTTGCCTGTTCATATCCTTTGTCCATTTTTCTATTGTGGTTTTTGTCTTTTTCTTAAGTTGCAGGAATTTCACGTGTTATTTTAGCTACTGAGCCTTCGTAACCTTTAGACACTGTGAATGCCTTCCTGCTTTCTGGTAAGGGTCTGTTAACTTGGCCCGTGAAGTCCTTCACTGCACTGAAGAACAGAAGTTTCCCTGTTTACTTGCTCTATGGTCTGTGCTTTGTAAAAACACCTTTCCCTGGCCCTGGCTGCTGTGTTCACGCTCCTGCATTTTCCTCTATCAGCCTTAGAGTTTTGCTCTTCAGGACGGAATATTTCCGTTTTGGGGTTAGGTAGGATCACAGATGTCCCGTTTCTCTTTCTGCTTCATGACGTATATGATGTGACATATTTTTCTACCGGATATTGTGGAATAGAAGATGAAAAGCACACACTCGCGGGTCCACTTGGCCTGTTGCAGTGGAACCTCCGGGCATGGGCCCAGGAGTCTGTATTTTTAGTAAGCCAGTGGACTCCTGCATTCTTCAAGCTCTGCCCCTGACCCCCATGTGCAGAAATGCCTGGGCACCCTTGGAGGGCTGCCGGCCAGGGTGGGTGAATGGCACCCACCAGACAGAGCCGGGCCTGCGACTCTCCTGGGCCACCCCTCCTGCCGGACCTCAGGCGTGCCTCCCTGCCCTTGGCTCCCTGCCTTGGCGCCTTGGGAGGAGAATTTAGGTGCTGGAATTTGCATCTGGGAGTGTCCACCAGGGGATCTTCCAGAAGCCCAGGGGTTCCTGCCCTACTCCTGGCATGAAGAAATAGCTTGGGTTGGTGTCAGGCCGACCCAGGTCCTGGCTGTGTGGCCTCCTGCCATCACTTCTCTGAGCAGCAGTCACACCATCCCTGATGGGATTCAGACTTGAGCCCATGTCCCAGGGCCCCTGGCAGGGTGGGCCTCCAGGGAGGGAGGGCCGGCTTTGGGGCGCAGCCCAACCCCTCAGTGCCCCGCAGGCGGCCGTGCGCGGTGAGCAGTGGACACCCATCGAGCCCAAGCCCCGGGAGCGGCCGCAGATCGGAGGCACCATCAAGCAGCCGCCCAGCAACCCCCCGCCGCGGCCCCCGGCCGAGGCCCGCAAGAAGCCCAGCGAGGAGGCGGCGGCGACGGCGGCAGGGGGATCCCCGGGAGGTCCCCAGGCCAACCCCATTCCGGTGACCGATGAGGTCGTGTGACTTCATCCCAGACCTGCCCTCCCGCCAGGGGCGCCCGCAATAAACGCAGCAAAGCCCGGAGCGTGCGCCTGAGCCTCTGCCTGGGGCCGGTGGGCGGGGCTGGGGTAGCGAGGGTTCCCGAGGCCTGGGCAGGCACCCCGTTTCCTGCCCGCCGGGCCGCATTCCAGTTTCATTAGCATCAGCATCGCCTGCCTTGTCAGCAGCACATGAAATCCCGGGTACTGTATATTCCACGAAATATAGTGGAATATGGGAATTCCAGGTGTGTGCCTCCCTACAAAGGTCCTCCCCGGCCTGGAGGAGGTAACGGAGTCCTCCCTTGCTAGCTCTCCCAGGCCCTGCAGGCCCTCCACACCTAGTGCCTCCCTAAGGGGCTTGGATTCCAGAGGAGGCCGCTGGCATTAAGTGAAAAGGGAACAGGGCGGGAGCCACGTGGTGAGCCTCTACCCAGCGCCTCTTTTCTGTAGACACTGGCGAGGCTGGCGGCGGATGCACCCTTGTTTTCCCCCCCACACTGATGCTGGAGGGCTCTCCAGCTGCCCAGGACACTCAGGCCAAGTTGTAGGGGGCTTCTGGCCACTCCTGCGCCTCACTTGTGCAGAGGCTGTGGCTGGTTGCACATGCACCTGCCCACAGGTCCTCACCGCCACCGGGTGCCCTCAAAGCTTTGCCGTGCATCAGCCACATCCCCCACCGCTGGGCTCTCACCAAGGCACCCACTCTCCTGAGGCTGGAGAAGCCCTTGCCTGCCGCTTGCCCACCTGCTCTCCCAGCAACTCACACTTCAGAGCCAGGTCCTCTGTTCCCGGGGCTTTCAGAAGCCGCCCCCCACCAGCCAACACTCAGCACCATGCAGACATCTCAATCCAGCCTCGTCTCAGCTGTCCCCCCAGATCACCAAGCTTCAGGTCACCCTTGAAACCCCCACAACCCCACGTCCAATCCTGGCCCCAATCCAGACCCCAGCTATGTGGGCCATCCCCACCCAGGCCACCTGCCATCTCCCGCTCTTCCCTCACCCCCGAAACCATCCAGATGCTGCCATTGAAACCCAAAGCCCCACCCCAGTGCCTCCAGCTCAGAACCCACAGGCTCAGCTCCCTTCAGTGACAGCCACAAGCTTCTGATGGCCCCACGGCAGACCCAATCTGCACCCAGCGCCCTGCCCCGTCCCGCCCCCGCCGTCCCCCTCTCACCTGGCGTCAGCCACACAGGCCACTCTCTGACCCTCGGACACACCCAGCACGTGTCTTCTCAGGGTCTCTGCATGGGCTCTTCCTGCTGCCTGGAGCTATTCCCCGCATGGCTGCCTGGCCCCTTCCGGCTCCCCTTCAGGTCTTCGAGGCCTCCCTGACCCTCTGCTTAGAACCGCAGCCCCTCCCCCGGAGCCTCTGTCCTGGACCATTCCCAGACTAAACACCACTTGTTCCATCAGTCACCATGAGGGCAGGAGGGATTTTGACCGATTTGTTCTCAGCCTGTTCCCAGTGCCAGGCGCCTAGTAGAAACTCAATATGGCTGGGTACGGTGGCTCATGCCTATAATCTCAGCAGTCTGGGAGGCCGAGGTGGGAGGATCACTTGAGCTCAGGAGTTCGAGATCAACCTGGCCAACATGGCGAAACCCCGCCTCTACTAAAAATACAAATACTAGTTGGGTGTGGTGGCGCACACCTGTACTGGGAGGCTGAGCTGGGAGAATCGCTTGAACCTAGAAGGTGGCGGTTGCAGTGAGCTGAAGTCACGCCACGGCCCTCCAGCCTGGGCAACAGAGCGAGACCCTTTCTCAAAAAAGAAAAGAAATGTGTTGAATGAAAATTCTACCGCCCGGACAAAGGCCACCACCTCCAGGAAGTCTTCCCTGAGGCCTCCTCCTCTGGGGGTCTGAGTGGAGTCCCCCACCCCCATTTCCAGGCACCTGGACACGGTAGGTGGGTGAGCCAGGGGGCCAGGCAGGGGAGGGGCTAACAATGCCCAGCAGCCCCACGGCAATGTCAGCCCTCAGGGCTGGGGGCCGAGAGACTGAGACCCTGAGACTGTCACAGGCCTGGGTCCCCTTTCCATGACTGAGGCTGCTCACCCCAGGGTCCCTTAACTAAAATCTCCAGCAGAGCCTGGGCCCCAGAGCGTGGCTAGTTCACCTTTAGGGAGGGCGCCTTGGTCTTGGCTGTTGATCCGACCCACAGAGGCTTGGGGCCCTGCCTTGAGCCGACAGCCCTGCAGTTCATCCTCAGAGACTCTTGCCTGGGGGCCGAGATGGTGCCCCTAGGCGCTCACATCATTACAAAGCATAGGGCTCAAGGCTCCGCCTGGGGAAGGAGGCTCATTCCTGTTCCCAGGGGTATCCTCCGGGGAGACACTGTGGGCAGAGCAGGGACACCTGTGCTCCCCCGTGCTAGAGCTCAGTCCCACCTGCGTGCACTGCTTGCTGCTGCATAGACCTTTCTGAAAGGATGCCCCAGAACTGGGTCCGTGGCTGGCCTGGGCCAGGGCTGAGCGGGAGAACGTCGCATTGAATGTTGGCCTCTGGGGATGTGTTCATCAGTTTAATAACAAATGTACACTAAAATAATTGTTTAAGAAACAGGGGTACTTCCAAGGAGGTTGGGAAGAGGGAGCCTGGGGGGCCTGAGGTCAGTGATAGGGTGAGGGAAGCCGGGAGTGGGGCTGGGAGCCAAGGTACAGGTGGCCGTGTGACACCTTTTCTGTGGCTTTAAGGGCTGGAAGAGGTGCTGAGCTCCTTCTACCCCCAACTGCTGAGGCTGGAGATGGGGAGAACAGTGGGGGGCCATCCTCCAGATACGGGGGATGCCTGGACCCCAAGGGTAGTGTTGGGGTAGGCATATAAATAACAATAAATACACATAAATAGGGGGTACCCTCTGGGGAGCCCATGTGTCCAGTCTAGGGGCTCCACAGCCTCGGCGGTCACACTGACCGGGGCAGCACGCAGGTACAGCCGACAGGCACGCGAATGAACTCGGTGTGGAAGGCGAAGGCCCCGGGCGTGGGGAGCCCCGAGCCGTCGCGGGAGCAGGGCCGGCGGCGCAACACCAGCAGACTCTGGAGCAGCCGCACGGAGTTGAGTGCAGCTGTCTCGCGGCCGGTCCGTGGGTCGATGCAGCCTCTGCACAGGCACTCGGCGAAGGCCAGCTTTTGTGGATAGCGGTCCTCGTCTGTGTCCACACTGCGGGACGGGGCGCACAGTGAGTCTCTGGCCCTACCCTTGCCTCCCTGAGGCTCCTCTCCCCTCAGGGCCCCTCCTTGAGTGCTCAGGATGGGACCTGAGGCAGTGAGGGCCGAGCCACACAGGCTTGGCGTGCAGCTGGGCTCGTAAGTGGTGGTAATCCACGTCTCCCCAGGGCGCTCCAAGAGCACAGAGCAGGGGCCGGAGGCCTCTAAAGCCTCCCTCCCACTTCACCACCCAGCCCCACTTCTGCAGGAGCTCAGGTGAGGGGCCCAGAATTTCCCCAGGGGACCCTGGCCACCAAGGACAGTGGCAGGCAGGGCATGACCGCAAGAAGCAGCTCAGCCGCCCAGGTCAGCAGGGACGGAGGGACGGAGCTCAGGTGGCCACGCCCACTTGACAGGGGAGAACCACCAAGGCCCAGAGAGCTCTCCAGGCAGTCAGGGCCCTGCCAGGGGAGGGGCAGCCCACGCCACAGCAGGATCCCCAGGTCCCCACCGGTATCTCCAGGGTGAGATGGAGCGCTGGTGGGTGTCTGCCTCCAACACCTCCTCTGGCCGCAGCACCGGGCACTGGGTCGCAGCTGAGGGCCTCTCATGCCTCCTCCTGTGGCCTGCTGCCTCCAGGCTGGACACCAGGGCTACAGGCAAAGCCTGTCCCCACTTCGCACCTCGAGCCAGCAGGTGTGGGGGGGCCTGGCCGAGGGGCAGTTCCTCAGCTGAGTAGCAGCGTGGGGTCCCATGAGTGTGGGGGTGCCCCCTGAGGAAGGCGTCATGGTGGGCCAGGCATGCATGCAACCAGGTCAGA